CCCCCTCGACCCGCCCCCGGCCCGATTCGGGAGCCCCTCTAGTTGAAAATAATTCACTGCCGAGCAGCATCCGAGTTAATCAACATTCAACGCTGGCGTCCACCCCTCGGCCGCCCCTCGGAGATTTTATGATCCTCCGGCTAATTATTTCCTCTCGACTGCACCCCCGCCCCCGTTTAAAAGCCCATTCTCCCGTGCTAGGGAAAAACGCCGTATGAACCTTCCGGCGTTGCCAAATTCCCTCGGATAAAACGCGAATTTCCCGATAAACTCATGAATATTTTCCTTCTACTTTTTCAGATAATTTTGTTCGCAATTTCATCCCGGAGTCTCTGAAAATTTCAAGGAAAAATATTCATAATTTTCCTCAGAAATAAACATTTTATTAAAGGAAATTTGGCAACTCTCGATTGTTCATACGGCGTTTTTCCCTAGCACGGCGGCATTGTTGGCGAGAGTAGCGTGATAACATTTGACAGGCTGTTATGCTTTCCGAGCCTCGTCCTCCTCCTCCTTGTTATCACTCCGTTGAGCACTTTTAAGGGCTCGTCAGGCGGGGGGGGGGGGNGGGGGGGGGGGGGGGTGTCAGGGGAGGTTTTTAACTTTAAACCTGACGTGGCCGTGCTTCATTTCCTCAGGTGTGTTTTGACCCGAAAATAAAAAATAATCCCGGAGCCTTGTTATTAATCCTTTGACCGTGCTTAGGGTCCGGTTTGAGAGGAAGGCAGCCGTAGGGTACCTTTATAGACAGAGTATGGCCATTTCTGTGCCGGTTTTTCATTGGTTGCGAGAAAAGAGGCTGACACGCTGTTCTTANNTTTTTTTTTTTTTTTTTTTTTTTTTTTTTTTTTTTTACCAGTGCGCGGCAACAGTTATGCTCATCTTACATCCTGCTGTGATAAAAGCGAAAGGCAATTTGACGGTGTTTTCGTGAATTTTTCATGTGTTACTCGCAGATATGCTAGTTTAAATTGTTACACGATTGCGCCACTTATTTTCTCTGAAATCAATTCCCAAGCTCAAAAAAAGCTTTCAAGTTGAGGCCAAAATGGAGGGGTTATCCCACGCTATCCTGAGAGTCCACCTCTACATCAAGACAAACTCTCCATGCAAAGATAGGGAGCAAATACATTAGCAGGGTTGCCGTGTTTTCAGTTTTAGAGTCCCCAAATTAAGCAGAAGCCCTGTCAATGTATTTGCTCCCTTTCTTTGCATGGAGAGTTTGTCTTGATGTAGAGGTGGACTCTCAGGACAGCGTGGGATATCCCCTCCATTTTGGCCTCAACTTGAGAGCTTTTTATGAACTTGGGAGTTGATTTCAGAGAAAACCAGTGGCACCATCGTGTCTCTCACAAACTTTTACATAAGAATCAACAGTGAAATCGCAAATTCCTCACACATGAAACATCCATTATTGCTCCTCAAATACACAAACCGCATAGGAGCGCAACGTAGTGGCGAATCCCGTTCCTAGCTCACATAAAATCGCACCTCAAATCAGCACATGTAGCACAGAAGGCAGACTTTTATCGATCGAAGAAAAATAATGGATTTTACTCCCGACGAACCTCTCCGATTGGAAAAATGTTGATGTGAGAGCGTTTAAGCGAGATTGCGAACCTCATGATCTCATCAACACGGTTGTCCCACTAGAACACACATTAATTAATATTAGCCCGACCATACGTAACAAGGTGAACATCCGACGAATTAATTATTCAAATTAATGTGGTTTTCCGCCTTTGTTGCTGTGGTTAACAGACATTGTCTTTCATAACTTAATCACAATGTTTTTTCACGTGTGTGCCTCCCGTAGTTGCCAAATGCGGATATCTATCAATCAAGCAGTTTGGAACCTCACCTAATCTAGCAATTCCAAAGCTGTTTGGACTGAGTGTAACGAAAAATGAATTCGACGTGTTTCTATCAAACGGAACTATGTGCATCATGACGTGAGCCCTGTTTTGCACCTATCCTTACGAATCTCAGGGCTCATGTCTTAAAGCACATAGTTCCGTTTGGCAGAAATACGTCCATTGATCTTCCACACGGTTACACTTAAGGTGCGGATTCGAGAGTTGCCATTTTTTGAGTCAGAACATTGCCATTGTTTTCAATCCTGAGAAATTTGGACAAATAGCGGGCAGAAATTAATCCAACTGAAAGTGGATGAGCTTAAGTGATAGCTCTATAGATTTTAAAAAATCAGCCGATAAAGTCATCTTAGGGTGATTCGACGGTTGCCATTTTTTGTATCAGAACGACGTGCGATATATCTCATCAATTCGTTCTATAATTTCAGCTACTTGTCATTTTTTTTCGAATTTTGGGATCGCACTTCTGTTGTCATGAGACTAAATAATTCATTAACCAAATTTGACAAAGAAATTCAACGTATTAAAGGCAAGGTTTTTTCAGAGGAAAAATATCGCATTCGAGTGCAGTTTCGATATCAGTATCGAGTGCGATAGTTTTACTCTAAAAACACCTTGCCTTTATTACGTTAAATTTCTATGTCAAATTTGGTAGGTGAATTCTTTAGTCTCGTGACAACAGAAGTGCGATCCCAAAATTCGAAAAAAATGACAAGTAGCTGAAATTATAGAACGAATTGATGCGATATAGCGCACGTCGTTCTGATACAAAAAATGGCAACCGTCGAATCACCCTAAGATGACTTTATCGGCTGATTTTTTAAAATCTATAGAGCTATCACTTAAGCTCATCCACTTTCAGTTGGATTAATTTCTGCCCGCTATTTGTCCAAATTTTTCAGGATTGAAAACATTTACGAAATGCTATTACATCTTTTGGCACCGGCTGCGATTTATACGGTGGATTGCACCGCAATGTACCAATAGACAAGGTACGAAGTTAAGCATTCGGACACATGTCTCTTAACCAATCTCTAACGTAGAATACGATTCGTACTGAAACTGACTCCTGAGAAGATATTTAACGTTTCTTGCAAACGTTAATTCAAACCTCCCGCCCATGAAAACACAATGGTCTACGTGCGACGGATCGCAAACTAAACACTACCGTGACAGTCTCTGCGATAAGAAAATGTGGCAATCTCAATCTTGACGCTTTGGCTTAGCTATAGCAAATTATTTACACTTTGAACAATAAAGGGTGGAAAATGAACAATGTTTGATTAAGAAGCCTGCAAAAACCGTTGTATTGCGGGATTTGGCTCATGTAGAGTGCCTTGTTTTTTGTGACCGGACAATTCAAATTTCCCGTAAAAAATGTACAGTTAAAACGGAAGTACCGTAGGTGTTGATGTCAGTAATTTTTGATGCAAGAATCGTGTTCTACATGAAATTCTGGCTAAGAACCATATATCAGAATGCTTAAATTCGTACCTTGTCTAGTGGTCCATTAAATATGTTGTGATGGTCCTAATTGTACCATACCACTATTCTAACTCTTAGGAGCCCGTTTTGCCTACCCGCTCAATTGAAGGCGAACTGAGTTTGATACTTTCATGACCAGACAAGCTGTGCGGTCATGACGTCGAACACGATGTCATTTTTGACTTCTATTATCTGATGCACTCTATCATTACAAACCCGATCTCTCCTAGAAATTCCTACTGATCTCCTTCAGAAATCCAACCCCGTTGCTCTTAGCATATCCTGTCCGTTTCTTCAGTTGCCAAATTTCACATCCGTACGTTAATATACTTTTGACTATAGCGTTGTAAATTCTCCTCTTGTTCTTTTTGGAAATCCGCAGATCCAAGAGGATTCCATTTACCATCGCTATAGCCTTCCTTGCTAAGGTGTTTCTTTCCTTGATTGCTTGATCCGTCCTTCCATCCTATAAACTATAACCTAATGGTCGTATTTTTATCAAACAGAACTATGTGCAGGTGGGAAAGATGGGGCGTGTTCATTAGTGCTTGGGCCATAAGAATGAATGGGAATGAAAAAGCGTCAGTGACGTAAGCCGCAGCTCCAGTAGCCATCTGTCGTCTTTAACTCATGAGCCCTGTCCACAACCCTCTTGACACACGCCCACGGCTCAGGGAGTGTGACATAGTTCCGTTTGACAGAATGTGAAATTCCGCTTTTCTAATTCAGCAAACGGAACTGCGTGCCCACTGAATGCAAGATTCATGAGCCGTGGGCATGTGTCAAGAGCGTTGTACTCAGGGCTCACGAGTTAAAGACGATGAATGGCTTCTGGAGCGGCGGCTACGTCACTGGCGCTTTATCATTCCCATTCATTCTTATGGCCCAAACACACCCCCACTTTCGCACCTGCACGTAGTTCTGTTCGATAGAAATACGTCCAAATAATGAAGATGTTGCATGTGTGAGGAATTTGCAATTTGACTGTTGATTCTTACGTAAAAGTTCGGGAGAAACACGATGGTGCCACTGGTTTTCTCTGAAATCATCTTCCAAGCTCCAAAACGGCTCTCAAGTTGAGGCCAAAATGGCCGGGGATATCCCACGTTATCCGTCCACGTCTTTATCCAGACAAACTCTCCATGCAAAGATAAAGAGCAAATACATTGACAGGGCTGCCACTTTATTTGGGACTCTAAAACGGAAAACACGGCAACCCTGCTTATGTATTGGCTCCCTATCTTTGCATGGAGAGTTTGTTTTGATGTAAAGGTGCACTCTCAGGGTATGGTGGGGTATCCCCTCCATTTTGGCCTCAACTTGAGAGCTTTTTTTTGAGCTTGGGAGTTGATCTCAGAAAAAAACCAGTAGCACCACCGTGTTTCTCGCGAACTTTTACATATGAATCAACAGTCAATTCGCAAATTCCTCACACATGCAACATCTCCATTGATTAATAATTTGATTTTTGGACTACGTATCCTCGTGAATTTGTCCACTAACGTAACTTGTGCTTGTGTTTCAGGTGACGGTCGTTGGGGGAGCGGGGGGCAGCGTGACCGGGGCGGAGGCGGGGGGTCGCCCTACGGGCGCCTCGTCGGGCAGTTCCGGGAGTACGCCCACGGGATCCAGGGCACCGTCTACGCGGTCGACGAGAACAGCCTCTTCGTCGAGGGCTTCTCCTACGACGGCTCCGCCCCCGACGCCTTCTTCTGGGTCGGCAACACCGACCGCCCCAACCCCAACGGCTTGATCGTCCCCTACCCCCAGGAATACAACACCAGGTACGTCCATTCACCAATCACACATATGACAAGTTGTTCAGACGCATGTTGCATCTAGAGTACCTTTATAGCGAGAGTATAGACAGATGTGAAACTCCGAAAATTCATCAGGCCTTCATCGATTTTTTTTTTTTTTTTTTTTTTTTTTTTTTTTTTTTTTTTTTTTTTTTTTTTTTTTTTTT